CTCCCCCTGCCCTGCTCGCCGGAGCTCCCCTCTCCCTAACCGCCCCCCCAGCCCCCATTTCTGGTCCTCCTTAAGCACATTCCTCTGGTTGTCCCTTCTGCCTTGGAATGAACCTACAAGTAGAGGAAGGAGACAGCCGGTTTTTTGGTGAGGTTCCCCCTGAGCCGCCCCCACAACAGGCATTTTAGTCTTTCTGATGAGAAAATCCTATTGTCAGCTTCAGGGCTGTTTCGTCTATTTGGCAAATCTGTAGAAAGGAGGAAGACTATATATGAGTTTGTGTGTGCGAGAAACAAAGAGAATGAGGAACATTTCAAGCTGAGGGGCCCCAGCACTATGATTGCTGGGGGTGGGGGGCGTAGAGGGAAGGTTCAGACCACCGACAACCAAGCACCCAGGGGGCATATTCACCTACAGCCTCACCTAGCAGAGCGCATGTTGTTGACCCCCCACCTTCACTCCCATTTTACAGATGGGGAAACTGAGGCTCCAGAGTGGCTGGTAACTGATGTGTGAAACAACGGAGCTTCCTCGGGGAGCTCAGCTGCCTCACTAGACACTAAGGGCAAAAGGCAATCTTAGCTTAACACCATCCCAACCTCACAGGATCCTGTGAGTCTAAACAGAGAGATTCCTTTGGAAACTTCCTTTATCTCAACCCCCCAGTAATCATGTTGGCAATCATCCCCCAAGCATATGGACCCTGATACACATTTTTTTTTAAAGATTCTTTTTATTTGAGAGAGAGAGAGAGCAGGCAGGGGAGGGAGGGAGAGGGAGAAGCAGACTCCCCGCGGGGCAGGGAGTCCAATGCGGGGCTCGATCCCAGGACCCTGGGACCATGACCTGAGCCGAAGGCAAACGCTTAAGCGACTGAGCCCCCCAGGCGCCCCATCTAAAGGGTCTCATGACTAGAATTTCACTAGACAGTAATAAATGACCTTTTCTAACAATAGCCGGCCTCCTCAAGATCCTGGAAACCTTGCTTCCAAAATTCCTAAGAGACTTACACTGTCCCTAACCCCTCCCAACTCAAAAGTATATAATAGGCCACTCTTCCTGACCCCTTACAGCTCCTTCTGCCCAGGGGCCCTGTCCCTGTGCTTTAATAAAAGCACCTTTGTGCACCAAAGACGTCTCAAGAAGTCTTTCTTGGCCGTGGGCTCTGAACCCCAACATTTTCTCATATCCTTAACTTTCTTAGTAGGTGTGCAGAGGGAGTCTGAGCCCAGGGTTGATCTCCTGCAGTCTGTCATTGTTTTTTTGCTGCCAGAGGCATTTTGGTGAGGTCGGAGCCCTTGGGGTTGGCCTGTCTCAGCTCTCTGCCCCTCCCCCCACACCCTCCCCCTCTCCTCCCACCCTCCCTCCAGCAGAGGTTTTCTCTCCCAAAGTGCTCAGCCCAGCCCTGCCTGTGAGGCCCCAGGGGAGCAGGTTCTTGAGGCGCTCTCCTGGGATCTGAATGGTGGGTAGGGCCCAGGAATGTGCACTTAAAGGGCCTCTGGGTGATCTCTCTGTGCAGCATGCGCATGCGACACTGACTCAGCTGGAGAACCAGCAGTCCAGACTGTATTTGCAGAGAGAGCAGATCTTTGTCAGTTTATGATTTTGCCCTTGTTTGGATGCCCCTCTGGGTGCACTTTGAGGCAAGGATCTCAGAAAATACCCTGCATTGTTATTTGCAGTTAAGTCACTGGCCTTGGGAGAAAAGGGTCCTCTCTCTGCAGGCCTTTGGGTGGGCAGGAAGCACCTCACCTTCCTGCCCGTCCCAGTTGCCTGGAGCGTGGCGGGACCAAGGGCCCTAATGATCTCAGACCCCAGGCTTGCCCCATGTTGGGTCCCTGGTGACCGTCTTTCGTTGATCACTCCAGAGGGTCTGAGCTGCCCTGTGGAAGGCACTGGCTTGGTCAGTTAGAGAGTAGTATTTGGCTCGCGTCCTACTGCAGATCTGCTGTGGGACCTAAGCAGGTGGTTCACACCACTGTAGTGACTCGCCCCAAACCTGGGCTCAGTCTTGTGCTCTCGGTCCTCGGCTACCTGCACCCATTTTCATGCTGTTTGTCTGCATGTCTGGCTCCCACTGGGCATCACCCATGTGAGGGCTTCCCCGCAGTTCTGGTCATCTGTGCTTCCACAGAGGTGGGGTTGAAGCCTGGGTGCTGGGCCGGGGTGGTGGGCAGAGGTCTGAAGGTTCTGTCCTGGGTTATTGAACCAGACACAATCCGGGCACTGCTGTGAAGGGACCTTGCAGGTGAAATTAAGGCTTTGAGTTAGCTGACTTTAACTGATGGTCCTGGATTATCTGAGGCCTCCAGTGCAAACGTGGGCCCTTCAAAACCAAAGAGGAAGGTGGAAGAGTCAGAGAGATGAGCCAGAAGGAGGGCTGAGAGCTTGAATCCCAAGAAGGGCTTTGCCTGCCATCACCGGCTTCAAACGGGGGCCAAGAACGTGGGCGGCCTCCAGAAACAGAACGACCCAGCCGACAGCTCTCGGGGAGGCAGGGACCTTAGTCCCACCGGTCAACAATTCTGCCACCAACCTGAATTGGCTGGGGAGCAGACTCATGCCCAGAACCTCCAGAAGGAAGACAGTGTGGCTGACGCCTTGAATTTGGCCGTGTGAGACTGGGAGCAGAGGAGCCCGCCAAATCCGCGTGCACGTCTGACCTTCAGAACTGTGAGATCGTGTATTTGTGTCGCTTGAAGTTGGCGGTAACTGTTATGCAGCAGTGGGCCTCCGGTGCCCCGGGTGACATGCTCAGGTTAACTGGTGCCTCTGGCGACAGGTGGCGGGCGACAGGTGGCGGGCGAGGAGGCCGGCCCGCGTTTGCACTTCTGGGGTCTGGGAGGCTAAGGGAGGGGAGCGGCTTTTACCCTCCCCACTCAGGAGTCATTACCGCCTTCAGGGATGTGACAGACCCAGTGCCAACTGCTTTTTGTGAACAAACTTTCTTAACGCTCACTATTTATCCCCATTCTACAGATGAAGTGACTGAAACACGTAAGCAACTTGCCCAAGGCCACACAACCAAGTGACGGAGCTGGGGTTTGAACTGCTGGCCGACTGAATCCAGAGTTCTCCTCAAAAGTAGGCATCGGCCCCGCGGGAGCAGGTGGATGATAGCGAACCCCAGGCCCGCCTACTTTCCTGACCGGCCAGGTCTGCGCTCCCCTGAGGCGCCAGCAGGGGCCAGGCATCCAACCAAACCACAGCTTCTGGATTCTCGGGTGACCACCTGCATGCCTCAAGCCTCCCACTTACTGTTCTTGGGACTGCCGCCTGCCTGCCCCACCTCTGTTTATCCCTTTTCTTTAGGTCAAATCTGCTGCTCATCCCCAGCTGTTAGCTACAGGTTTAACTGGTTTTCCAGATCACTTGTCAGAGTCAACCTCTTAGGAGATAAGCTGAGCCCTCGCCAGATAAATTTCTGCACCCCACCTCTGGCATCTTGTAATAGTAGAAACTGCATTAACAGTGTGATCTCATAGCTACCACTGACATGGATTGTGTTGTTCCATGCTCATAACAACCCCATGAAGCTTGTCAGAGTGTACATGTACCCACTTCCCAGATAAAGAAGGTGAGGCATAGAGAAGTTTGGTAGGTGTTCTGGTAGGTGGTGGAGCTTCACCCACACCCACATGCTGATTTTGTGCAGTAGGCAGACAGAGGTTTGGCTGAGTGATTGGGCGGATGACCATAGAGGTGCATGTACGATGGTTGAGTGGATAGAAGGGGCCATTGCTTGCTGGCTGGATGGATGGAAGGAAGGATGGATGGATGGATGGAAGGGTGGATGGATGGATGGGTGGATGGAAGGGTGGATGGATGGATGGGTGGATGGAAGGGTAGATGGATGGATGGGTGGATGGATGGATGGGTGGATGATGGATGGATTGCTGGATGGAAGGAAGGGGTGGATGGATAAATGGATGGATGGATGGATGGATGGATGGACGGATGGAAGGAAGGGGTGGATGATAGATGGACGGGTAGATATAGAGGTGAGTGACCAAAGGGCCTGCCAAGGGGGAAAGGTAAGGAATACAGGAGGGGTGTAAGTCCACATCAGGGAGGTTCATAGGAACTCAGACTTCTTGCTTGTTCCATCATCCACCAGGAGACACTCTGCTTAGTCATCTTGGTTACCACCTGGGCTGTGGACCAGAGAAGTTGTCCTGGAAATGTCCTCTGACTGCAAGAGAAGTCATCATTTGTGCCCTGAGAAGTCCGCAAGCACCCTTGGCTATGCCCTGGAGATGTGGCAGCTACAGCCAGAAGTGTGAAGGCTCGCAGAAAAGTCCAGAAGCTGCAGTTCATCAAAGCCAGGACTGGGGCGAAGGCAGTAGGTTATGTTGTAGGAGGGAAGGGGTAGATCCCATTAGTGTTTTAGTTATTAGTGATACTTTGTTCATCACGGATTTTTGACATTAATTTTCTTATTTTTTCAAAGATTTTATTTATTTGACAGAGAGAGACACAGCGAGAGAGGGAACACAAGCAGGGGGAGTGGCAGAGGGAGAAGCAGGCTTCCCGCTGAGCAG